GTAGCAAAGATAGGATCAACAGTTAATTCAAATTTATCCCTTTCTTTACACTTCACCTTACCCCAACATAGAACCTAGATAAAGTATCCTACTATTGCAAAAGGTTTAGAAAATAGCGACTTATTAATGCCCCAGTACTTTCGGTACTTTGAGAAGCCCAGAAGGAAAAAAGAGGAAATAGCTCACTTTTATAAAGTGCACTTTAAGGTTTTAACAAATTTAAATAAATGTGTAAAATATATGCTTGAGTGCACACAAACCTTTCCTAAGGCTAAAGTTACCGATTACATCTATAGAAGGTATGAAAACAATAGCATTTTATGTAGAATGTGGAAATTAAACACAGCTTCTTCACTGCATACTTGGCATACACCTTGCCCTCCACTAAGAAAAAAAATCCTTAAGATTATGTTCTTCTACCCAACCACCTCATGCAAATTGACAATCTAAAAACAACCAGTTTAAGAAATCCAAAGAAACATTCTGAAAGACAGAGGGCAAATACTAAGTAAAATCTATTTATAGAAGACAGAAAACCTTTCATTAGTTCACTATTTCATATCACTTCAATCCAACTCAACCTCATTTATTGGAACTTCCAAAATCTAGTGTTACTCCACTTAACCAGCAATGGGAAGGATTTAATACTTCTAGATATTCACCCTCTACTCTACTTGTGCTGGTCTCGCTACCTAGATTTTTCATACAAGCTACAGCTAAATGAGAGCTCAAAGGCCTATGCTCAAGTTGTTCCATCACCTGGAAAACCCATGGTCTTTATACTGCCTCTCCAAATTCTATTCATCCTACAAGGCTTAGCTTAAGCCTTCACCCTTTTTTTTTTCTGACTACTCTAATTCTCTACTCTCTCTTTAATCTAAATTTTCAGAGAATTTCAGGCCCTAATTTTCTCACTTTTCAATTTAGGTAGTTAATTCAGGACTTCTTAAACTTTTTTCCACTTGCAACCCCTTCAGTGCCACCCATGGGGTCGTGACCCACAGTTTTAAGAAGCACTAGATAACCTAAAGGGCTGTAATTTGCCCATAGTCACTCAGGTAAGCTGATGGCAGAGTTGAAACAGGAATCTAGGGTTTTTTTCCCGGCTTCCACAACTATAATGGTGGCTTCACGTTAGCACTTAGTTATATGGTTATTTCATCTTCTTACATATCAAGTTTCACTCCTCAATAGTCTGTCTCTGCACAGGTGTACTTCCTGCTTTCCAAAACACAGTTGGGTACTGCCTACTAACCCAAGGATGTTAGCTTTCTCTTTCTCTCTCTCAAAATTATTTTGTATTTAATTATTTGTATGCATGTTATAAACACTCAGTAGAATGTAAGCTCCTTGAAGGCAGGGATCATTTCCCTAGCACCCAACAGAATGTCCTGCATTATTAATGAACCATTGATAAATTAAGCATTCACAAATGCACAGGGCACTTAATAGATGTTACATTGTTGAATTAAAAGAACAAATAATTATGTTTCTTTATAATTTCCTAATGCAGCTGTAGGAAGTTCTCAATAAATATTTGTTGAATAAAAGAGAAAGATACAGGTGGGTAATTATAATGACTCAGTTTGGCCCCAGAGAAAAGGTGAGAAAACGTACCTCCCTCTCCTCATTTCAAAGGTGGGGGACTATGGGTGTGAAATATGTTGAAATGTGTTGATTTTTTGCTGAACTACTTTTTCTTGTTACAAGGGATGGCTCACTTGTAGGAGAAGGAGTGAGATATCCAGGAGTCATTTTGATATAAAAAACAATAGTTATCCATAAAAATAAGACTTTTTTTAAAAAAGAAAGGTACATAGAAAAAAATTTAGGGGCAGCTAGGTGGTGTGGTGGATAAAGTGGTGAGCCTGGAATCAGAAAAACTCAACTTCTTGCGTTCAAATCTGACCTCAGACATTTACTAGCTGTGTGACCCTGAGCAAGTTACTTAACCCTGTTTGCCTCAGTTTCTTCTTCTGTAAAATGAGCTCCAGCATCCTGCCAAGAAAACCCCAAATGTGGTCATGAAGAATCAGACACAACTGAAAACAACTGAACAACAACAAATAAATAAAAACTGGCTTAAAAAAAATAAGCCTCCTTAAATTTGAGACAGCAACTGTGGGGAGACCTTGGTATTCAATTTCAATTTCCAACAACTTCCTGTTTACTAATCGGGATTGACAATGAAGGTATCAAGTGAAAAGCAAGTCATTCTAGAATACCCACAGCACAGGAAAACTATTTATTTAGGCTTTCAAACCTGCTGCGGGGGGCCAGATGGAGAAAGCACAAGGCTTTGTAATGTATGTGATTTCTGCCCTACTGCCAGTACCCAATCTTCCTGATTTCTTCTTTCTTCTTGATTCCTTTGCTTCTACTAATCCCCAATCTGGAATGGGCTTTCCTCCAACTCTCCTCCTCCACCCTGTTCTTCTATCAAATATCTTCTATATCAAATTCCTACCTTCTCTCAAGGCCCATTTCAGATGCTACCTCCTCCAAAAAGCCTTGCCCCCAAGTAAAAGTGTTCTCTCCCACCTCCAACTCAAGACACTTAACATTCACTTTCCTTTGCTGTCTTTTTTTCATGTCTGCACCATAAGAGTATCATAGAAGGTCTCGTGCATAGGAGACACAAATATTCTTCTGAATTGAGTTCAACTGAATTCCCTACACACAATATTAAACCTATTAATCCCAAGCTGAAGCATCATGAGGGAGAAGATGAAACCAGGGATCATGTCCAGCTTTCTGAGATGGACCCACAGGTCAAAGTGACTTGGCCAACACCTCAAAGATAGACTGTAGTAGTCAGGTTCCCATTCACATCTACAGGCTCCAAAGCCAGTTTCCTTTCTCATTGCTTTCTCACAAGTGGCCTCATTAAAATGGGCCACATTTTAAGCATATTTTCTCAAAGATGGAGGCACTTATCTCCCTGTTATTTACTGCCACCTCTCCCTCCTCCCAAAGCACTGACTCTGGAGTCAGAGGGCAAGGATTTAAATCCAGCATCTGACCCATGCTCACTATCAGTATGATTTTGTGTTGACAAATAATTTCCCTGGGCCTCAGTCTCATCCCTTTAGAAAGCTAGGGCACAAGTGGATAGAGCACTGGAGTCTAGAAGACTTGCATTCAAATCCTAGCTTGGTCATTTACTATCTGTGACCTTGGACAAGTCATCCTCAACTGTAGAATGGGAATCCAAATAGCACCTCCATCAGAGCTGTTGTGAGGGTCAAAGGAAATAAAACATTTAACACAGTGGCTGACACAGAGAAGTCTCTTAAGGTGTGTTCCCTTCCCTTCATTTGTAAAATGAGGGAGTTGAGCTTGATGGCCTGAGGTGGCTTCCAGCCCTAGATTTATTGGTCCTATGAAAAGGCAGTAGTCACAGCAAGAAAGCTACTCTCAAGAAGGATGAGTTCAAAACTAAAAGGCATCTTGAGGGCAATGCAAAAAATTTTGGAATTAGGAGTCTAAGCTTCAAAGCCCAGGTCGGTATCTATGTGACCTTGGGCACCTTATTACCCCTCTCTAAGCCCCAATTTCCTCATCTGTAAAAAGGGGTGGGTAGAAATTGGAGTAGATAGGGGTTCTTAACCTGGGGTCCTCAAATGTGTTTTCAAAAAAATATTTTGATAATCATTTCACTATATTTTATTTCCTTTGTAATTTTAAGTATTTTATTTCACACATTTTAAAACATTATTCTGAGGAGGTCTATCCATAGGCTTCACCAGACCTCAAAGGGGTCTATGACACATAAAAGGTTAAGACCCCTAACCTAGTATTCTGTTGAGCATAAAATACCATGACAGATATCTGATCTAGTTTTCCCCCTAAGGACTCTGGGATCCCACCCCATTTTAAGAGCTAGAAGCTCAAGATTGGAAGTCCCCAGAACAGCCTAAGGAGAAAATTAATCAATCAACACTTACTAAGTGCCTACCACATGCCTGCCACTTGCTAAGCTCCACTACCCATGCTGTCTCCACATTTTATTCACAGGGTCACCCACACGTGTCACACTGTTACGGATAAAGTTACAGGATTTAAAAAAACCCTAACAATTAACATTTTTTAAGCAACTTTAGGTTTGCAAAGCACTTTTCCCAAGTCATCTCATTTGAGGTAGGTGCTCTTTTTATCTCCATTCTTTGTTGTTCAATTGCATCACTCTTCGTGACCCGGGGTTTGTCCACGGGGTTTTCTTGGCAAAGATACTGGAATGGTTTGCCATTTCCTTCTTCAAAAGTGTAGTTGTTCTGTCTGTCCAACTCTTCGTGACTCCATTTGAGGTTTTCTTTGCAGAGACACTGGAGTGGTTTGTCATTTCCTTTTCTAGCTCATTTTACCGATGAGGAAACTGGGGCAAACTGGGTTAAGTGACTTGCCCAGGGTCACACTGCCTATCACACAGCCTGAGGCCGGACTTGAATTCAGTTACATGACAGGCCCGGCACTGAGTGAAGCATAAGCCTCTGCGTCCAACTCCCTGATTACGACTGCTAACAAGCGTCAGAGGCAGGGTTTGTACCCTAGGCCCAAGCCCCGAGCTCCACCCACTCTACACCACCTCCCAGCTTTGCTAATTAGTATGGAGCTGCGGGAGGCACCGGCAAGAGGGAGGGCTTGCTATCCAAAGCCCGCAGGCGCACTACGGTTCCTCCCGTCCTCCCTCCCCCACAGATAAAATGCAGGCTCTCAAGGTCAAGTCCGTCCCAGCGGGATATCAACGTTCTCTGGGACCGAAGTCCCTGCAGCGCAGAGGCGCCCGGTCCGCCCGCCGAGCACCCAGCGCTAGTTCCCACCGCCCGCCCTGAGGCTGGAGGGAGCCATCGCCCCGGATAATGCGCCCAGCCCCCGTACAGTGCGCTCTCCTACTGGGCATGCTCAGTCACCGTGCAGATGTCACAAAGCGAGGCGGACCCCACATATAGGGCTCTCCCTCTCCCTCCCGAGAGCGCTCGCGCCCGCTCCCCTTAACCCACCTTCCAGTAAAAGACGCCAAGCTGCTGCAGCTGATCCAGGCTGACTGGACGCCCGGGCTCGCATCTGTGGGGTTTCCTCTGATCCTCCGCAGAGTCATCCATGTACCAGGCCTCCACCATTTCTGTTTGGGGGAGCGCCTCCAATTTCTTGGGAGAAGTCCTCTAAGGCCTCGGCTAGTCCCCAAACTTAACAAGCTCCACCCACAACTCAGCGCTTTTATTTTACCAGGCAGGGAGTGGCGCCACCCACAATGCTGAGGTCACCAGCCCAGGTTATCTTTGAACTGCTCCGCAGAAGTGCCAATTAACTCTTCTTTACCTCAATTCACTCGAGGTACAGCGGACGAGGCTATGCGATAAGAAATTCCTGCTTCTAGGAAGCCCTGCCCTTTAGGCATAATACACAAAGGGAGTTTCCAAAAAATGTCCATTTATCAATTATTCTTCTAGTCTAGTAAATGTAACCTCAGATTTATTCCAAACCCAAGGCTAGATATCTTTCTCAGGACTTGCATAGCTCTTTTTTCCTGCCCCCTCCAACTCCCTGCTTGAGTTCTACCCCTTCCTCTCCCCAATCTCCAAAACTTCCGTTATCTAGGGGCAAACCAGAACAAGACGAAAGAGTGAGTTAGAACTTTTAATTCCTTAGACCTAATAATTGGCTACTTGACTTTGTAGGCTGCCTTGAGCAGCTAGTGGACTTAATGACTGCAAATGAGGCTTATGTGACGGATGGAGTGGAACCAAAGAGGACAGAGACTGTTGTATTTTCTTATGCATTTATTATTTATCTTTTAGTGGGCACCAACTGAACCTTTTCATTTAAAATAGTTCTTCCCAACCTGTTTTTTAATCCAGCTAATAATAATGATAGCTTGAAATTATGTAACACTTTTTTCTAATGTGTGTCAGTTCTTTAAAGGAAAAGTCAAAAGTGTAGCAAATAGTTGATATCCAAGATCTGTGTTTTTACCTTCTGAATGTCAAGGGCCACACTGGAGTGATAAATTCTTTGAGTTAATGTGGACCTTCAAGGTTTATGTAAGGTTAAATTAGAGAGAAATCCATCAATCAATAAACATTTATTAAGCACCTACTAAGTGCCAGGCACCCTGCTGAACCCTGGAGATAGAAAAATAAAAAAACTAAAAACAGCCCCTGCCCTCAAGGAGCTTACCTTTTAATTAGGTTACTGGAAGGTTAAGTCTTTGGGACAGATTGAGTCTTTTTGAGAGAGTTGAGGATGACTCGAAGACCTAGTACAAAGAGGCAGATCCAAAATAACCTGAACCAATGAAATAATCTTTGAGATGCTGAGACCCATGCTCAATATTATATGAATGGTTCAGAAAGTAACTGGCTAAAGAAATGTCCCAGTACTCTCAAAGGGATGTTAATGAACAAGTCCACACCTTCCTGGGGGAGATGCTGGCTTGCTTCCCAATAATGTCTGCAAGATTAACTGATCTGTCCTCTAAAAGTCTAAAATGCATTTATTAAATATTAACTAGGCACTCTATACAACAACTTAATCCAAATTTCTTCATTTTACAGAGACCAAGACCTCCAGATATGGATTGAAGCCCAACCTTGTGGCAAGATTCATTTAGTATTCACTCCACAAAAATATATTAATCTTCTATAATTGTTTTCTCCACAAAGGGAAATAATTCTGATGAGGAAGAAATTCATATTTTATGTTACTGCCTCTAGGATAAAACACAAATGGCTTATCTTGACAATTTAAAGTGTGCCCCAATTTAGCTACAACCTACCTTTTCCAGGTATATTTCATTACTTCTAGCAAAACAAGACCATTCACCCTTCCCCACCTCTGGTTACTATACATCCCTCCATTCCCCACTTTTTTACCTGTCTTTGCTTTTCAAAATCCTTTTCTTCCTTTCCTGACCACCTCCTTAGACATCCAGCTGTTAGCCTACTCTCCTGCATTATTTTATTAAAAATCTAAGACAGTTGCTAAATTCTTTATGCATCCTCTTCAGATAACATTTGCTGAGCCTTGAAAGGCTAGGATTCTGAAAGGCAGAAATCCGCAAAGAATGCATTGACCAACTTGAATTTCATAAGGGTATGTTCTGAAGGTGAAAGCAGGGACAGGTAACAAAGAATGAATAAATACACAAATATTTATTAAGGGCGGACTGTGTGCCAGGGACTGTTGAGGATACCAACCCAAAATGAAACAGTCTTTGCTGCAAAGAATTTATATCCTATGGGGAATAACATGTAGGAATAACATGTACATATGTGCATGTTGTACACATATGTGTGTACATATGGGCCAGCTAGGGAGTGCAGTGGATAGAGCGTCTGGAGTCAGAAAGACCTGAGTGTAAATCTGGCCTCAGACACTTACTAGCTGTATAACTTTGGACAAGTCTATTAACATCTGTTTGGCTCAGTTTCCTCATCTGTAAAATGGGGATAAAAATAGCACCTGCCTCCCAGGGTTGTTGTGAGGATCAATTGAGATAATATTTATAAAGCACATAGCAGAGTGCCTGGCACATAGTAGGTGCTATAATATCTTATTTATTAATTATTTATCATTTATTTAAAACCATTATTAAAATTTTACAATAATATATTAAATATTAATAATTAGTATAAGTGGATTCACAATATATACTTACATACAATTGTACACTATGTAAATAAAAGTAATTTCAAGAGAGAGATATTAGAGGGTGGTCAGGAAAGACCTCATATAGGAGGTGGCATTTGTGAGGAGCTCAGAAGGAAGATAGGGATTCTAAGAGGCAGAGATGAAGTTGAAGTACCTTCCAGGCATAAGTGACAGCCTGTACAAAGAGATGGAGACAGGAGATGGAATTCCATATGTAAGGAACAGCAAGAAGCCTAATCTGCATCACAAAAGAGTGGCAGAGGACTATATGAATAGTATCAGAAATGCTAAAACTCAAAATGGTAAGCTAAGGATGATGTGGAAAGCTAAGGACAGCAGAAAAGGAAGTATTTAGTTTTGACAGTTGGACAGGTTAGCAGTACTGGGGAAAAGAGGAGGCTCAAAGAAAGGATAGGATTGTTGGTAGAGTTTGGATAAAATGAGGATAACCAACAACAGAGAAGAAGGCAGAGCTGTTCACAGTTTTATCCACAAAGCTGAAAAACTTTGGATCAGAAAGGACAGGGAAGCTAAGTAGCACAGTAAATAGAGTGCTGGGCCTGGAGTCAGGAAGACTCATCTTCCTGAGTTCAAATCTTGCCTCAGACACTAGCTGTGTAACCCTGGACAAGACACTTAACCGTATTTGCCTCAGTTATCTCATCTGTAAAATGAACCAGAGAAGGAAATGGCAAACTACTCCAGTATCTTTACCAAGAAAACCCTAAATGGAGTCACAAAGAGTTGTACACAACTGAAACAACTCAACAGCAACAACAGAAAAGACAGAACAAAATGACAAAGGGGGAATCATTAATTACTGAAAATAAGTAAAGAAATCATTCAGCTGGCCCTTGATGAATTCATATCACCTGAACTAGATAAACTAATACATTCTTTGGTACTGAAAGAATGGTAGGTGTATTTGCTTAGCCACTATGAATGATATTTTAAAGATCATGAAGGTCAGAAGACATATAGCAAATGCTCAAAATGTCCTTGCATGAGCTGCAGTTACATTGCCATAAATATTATTCAGATTGACTGAAGAAACTTATATCATGCCTGCTGGGTTTTCTATAAAATAGACCAGTTTAGACCCCAAGTTATTTGAGCATCTGGCAAAAATTTTGATTCTAGCAAATGGCAAATGAGGAAAAAGGAGATTCCAGCTAAATCCAGGGCAAAGGAGCTGGGGGACTCGGGGGGGGGGAAGGCAGAGCACTTCAGCTTTGGCTTTGGTCTCTCCCCTCTTCCATTCTCAGCTGGAGAACTTTTCAAGCTTTAAAGGGTTTTAGATTTCCCATCTTTCCATCAGCATTCCTGGCATCATCCCTCGAGACAACAGGAGACAGCAGTAGCTGGTGGCAGTGTCAGTACTGGGAACTAAGGACAGAATGGAAGTAGATTCAAAACACAATAAAGAGTCAAACAAAAAAACCACTCACTCCATGCTTAAGGGGAACTTCTTGACCACCCCACAAAGGGGAGAAAAGGATTTCTAGCAACTAGGAGCCAGAAGTTATCATTTTGCCAAATGTGGATTCTAAGCTTGAACCCAATTTCCCCTGATCTTTGTGTGTTAAAGACTTTGGGGGCAGTGATCTGTATCAACTATGCTATCTTAGTAAATGCCCTTTTCTAAAAGCAATTTAAGTATGCCCAACTAAATGATTCTCAGTTGATGATCATGATGGGAAACACCCCGCAGAGGCTCATGAACTTTTGCATTGGAAAAGATACCCCCGAACCTCTCAAGGGTATCTCTAGAGCCCTATGGAGATACAGTAACTGTTGACCTCTGGGGACCCAATTGATCAGGACAAGAGTTAGGATAAGCCTCTCAGAATGTGTTACATATTATACTTTCAATTTTATTTTGTTTTGCTTGAATTTTTTTTTGTTACAAACCTAAATATTAACAACCACAAATGTCTCAATGTACAAAGAATGGAAAAGAGGATTGTCCATGGAAACATGACTTTATTACATATAACTTTTTAATTATATTGTTTTATGCCACAGCTACAAAACTTATCTTCTTGTCTGTCTCTTTCTGAACTTCTTTTTGCTCTCTTCTGTGTGTTTTTTAAATGTTTAATTGATACTTTTTCTTCTTTCTTTTTTCTATTACTATCACTGCCCTCCAACTCCCTCCCCTCATAAACTCCTTCCCCTTGTAACAAATATCAATTAATCAATCAAAAAGCACTTATTAGGCATTTACCATTTGTTAGGCACTGTGCTGAGTCCTGGAGGTACAAAGAAAGACAAAAACAGTCCCTAACCTCAAGGAACTCATTCCAGTCGAGAAGACAACATGTAAATTACTATGTACATACAAAATATATACAAACTATATAGAAATTAATCTCAGACGGAAGGCACTAGCAGCAAGGAAGATAGAGAAGGGTTTCCTACAGAAGATGAGATTTCAGCAGAGTCTTGAAGGAAGCAAAGGAAGATATGAGGTAAGGAGGGAAGAAGACTCAAGATACAGGAGAAACTGAGTGTAAAGGCACAGAATCAGAGATGGGATGTCACATTCAAGGAACA